GGGAGGGGCAGGGCGGCGTGGTGGCGGCTGAGAGGGAGGAGAGGGAAAGAGGCGTCTCGGAAGTGTCTCGGACGCGTCTCGGAAGTGTCTCGGAAGCGTCTCGTGCCTCTTCGAGCACATCCTCGTGGATGAGCGACGCCGTGTGGATCATCTCCGCGATCACGCCTGCCGCGGCGCGCCGCGTCGGTCAGCCGGCTGGGCGGCGGAGCCGATGGGACGAGGCGCCGGATCCGATTCCGATTCCGGTGGGCGGACGTTTCTCGGAAGTGTCTCTCGCACACCGAGCTTGTAGTGCCGGTTGCCGATGGAGAAGTCGGGGTGGGTGGCGCGGCCGACGAGCAACACCACCATCGGCCGGAACGACTTCCCCTTCCGCTGCATAAACTCTCGCGCCGCCATCGTCAGCACCTCATTCTTCGAGATGGCGCCCGAGCCGCCCTTGTTGTCCGAGAGGACCTTCTTGATGGAGGCCTTGATGTGCTCGAGGTCGGACGCGACCAGTTTGTACGGGTCGGGCCCGGTGGGCAACGGAGCCTGCCGCGAGATGGTCGCCGTCGCACAGATGCTCACAGCGGCGCGGCCGCCCGATGCGGGCAGCGCGCAGCCAAGAGGCACGGAGGAGGAAGATGGCGCGAATGCGGCCACAGCGGCGCCGAGCAGCAGCATGCGCAGCAGCGATAAGGTGCGGCAATGCGGACGCAGCGAGCGGCAGGATGCGGGCAGGCACTTCTGGGAAGCGCAAAAAGAATTTCAGCAGCGCGGGCGCACGACAGTCCTAGCAGCGCAGCGGGCAGGGCGGCTCGCGCAGCGCGCGCGCGATCGAGCGAGGGAGCGAGCGAGCGAGCGAGCGAGCGAGCGAGCACACACACACACACACACACACACACACACACACACACACACACACACACACACACACACACACACACACACACACACACACACACACATGTTGTACACATGCACAGACACACAGCCCCTTCCCCTTCCTCAAGGGCGAGGACACGCGCAGGGGTGCACTTCTAGCGAGGCCCACAGAGTGGGAGACTCCTATCACCGCCACTGCCACCCACGTGTCAGTCTGCCTGTGGTAGAAGAGACTGCCGGTGAGACGTCGGAGGAAGGTCGCTAGTCGAGAGAGATCGCCAGTGGATAGGGAGTCCACCGTGCTGCGAGCCTGTCGCTGTCCCTTGTCAGGAGCAGGAGAACTAGGAGAGCGCAACCAGTAGGAGGCCCGCGCTTGCCCCCGTGCCGCCGGGTGCAACCTGTCCTATACGAGAGATGGGATTCCTGTCGTGAGGGTGAACCCCCTGCCCAGCCCCCCTCCGTGTCGCGATGCGCTCCCCGCTCCCGTTCCCCTGTGTCCCTGATCGTCCTACAAGATCCTGCTTGTGCAGGTGGGGACCCTGTCCTTCTCCCACCCCTCGTTTGGCGTGTCCGTTGTATTTATTTATTTATCCTTGGGTCTGCCTGTGGTAGAGAGTGACTGCCGGTGAGAAGTCGGAGGAAGGTCGCTAGTCGAGAGAGATCGCCAGTGGATAGGGAGTCCACCGGGCTGCGAGCCTGTCGCTGTCCCTTGTCAGGAGCAGGAGAACTAGGAGAGCGCAACCAGTAGGAGGCCCGCGCTTGCCCCCGTGCCGCCGGGTGCAACCTGTCCTATACGAGAGAGGAATCCCTGGGACCCTGTCGTGTGGGTGAACCCTGCCCAGCCCCCCTCCGTGCCGCGATGCGCTCCCCGCTCCCGTTCCCCTGGTCCTGATCGTCCTTACAAGATCCTGCTCGTGCAGGTGGGGACCCTGACTTGTTGCAAAAAGTCTGTGGTGCAAAACCCGCCAAATACTACCAAAAACGAGTCACGGCCAGCTCGGCACTATCTACTCAAAAAAAGTGACGTAGAGCACCCACTTTTTAAGCGGTCCGCGCACACACAAGGTCCGCCTGCGTGCGCCGCCAGCTTCTCAGGGCCATCGCGCGAAAAACGACGGAGGAGATGCATCCTAGCTGTCGCCACCGAAGGCGACTCGACGTCGCTGAGATCGGAGATCAAGCTCTGACAGGTCACACGTCGCTCCTTTGACGCCGACGTGACTCACCCGTGCAGAGCGCATCAGGACACGGTCTCGACGCGCTCGGTACGACGCCTGCGACCCGTCTCGGGTCAGGTGGCACGACGCTCATCGCGCCCGCCAGCGCTGCCATGCAGGCTGCCACGACGAGGTCGAGCACGCTTCTATACGCTCGCCCAGCCTTCCTTTCCATCCCATTAGGCAGCCTGGGAACGGTGGCGGTCAGAGGCAAAGCCTGCGAGGGGTGGTGGAACCACATGTCACGGCCACCGCTGGCTCCACGCGACGATAGCCTCCGGAGGCTGACTTTGAGGCACCATCATCGGACGACGTCGACGAGTTGGTTCGCTCTCGCGGTAGCCAGGTAGCCCCCCATACTAGTAGCACCAGCCATGGCCTCAGGGAGCGCGGGCGAGGGCGCTGGGAGCAACACGGACAAAAAAACATCAAAAGTGGTCATTATGACACGACCCACCCGTATTTGCAACTAGTCCCCTGTCCTTCTCCCACCCCTCGTCTGGCGTGTCCGTTGTATTTATTTATTTATCCTTGGGTTGTCTGTTTTCTCTTTCTTTTTCGGACTGTGTTTTTACATACATACATGTGTTTCGCCTTCCCATCAATCAATCAATCACGCGACAGGCGAGGCGCGGGCGACGTTATCACCATCTCTCTCACCATCACGGACTCACGCACCCTGAACATGCACACCTCTTACACTGTCAGGACATACAGGCACGTCTACTCACTACTCACTACTCAGGTGAAGACGTAGAACTTGCACACCGTCAGCTGCGTAGGCGGCCGGTTGAGGTAGATGTAGCGCCCCAACGCGTTGATCTCCACCTCCAACATCACGTTCGACAACACGCTCACGTCTGACTTCACCAGCGCGTTGCCCGTGAACGTCCCCGCCGTCGAGCCGAGATAGATGTCGACGTCCGTCAGCCGCTCCGGGCAGCAGTCGTTGCGGTTCTGCAGCCGCACGAAGCGCACATACACCTCGCTCCCGAGGTCGACGCCCCACCATTGGCTTGTGTAGTGGCCGCACTCGGCCCACGGCCGTCCCGTCGTGCTGTCGGCGAAGGACAGGTCGTTCACGGGCGCCTGCTTGTCGAAAAGGTTGGTGTCCTGGTACGTGGTGGCGGCGCGGAGGTCGAGCAGCACAGGCGGCGGCGGCGACGGCGAGGCGGACGGCGGCGGCGGGGAGGGCGAGGCGGACGGCGGCGGCGCAGGCAAGGCGGAGGGAGGCGGCGGCAGAGGCGGCGGCGGAGAGGGCGAGGCGGACGGCGGCGGCGCAGGCAAGGCGGAGGGAGGCCGCGGCAGAGGCGGCGGCGGCGACGGCGAGGCGGACGGCGGCGGCGGAGAGGGCGAGGCGGGCGGCGG